TGTTCCAAATGCTATAGAAAAAAACATGATGACAGTTTTATGAAATTTAACTAGGTGGAAAGACTGCATCATAATGCATCTTAAAATTATCATGTAAGGAAATCAAGAAAAATTCAGACACAGTTTGATCAAAGTATTCTTCTCATATAAGTATGGGGTGTTCATGTCACATGAAAAAGCCACAAATAATTCTGGTATTGTTGTGACAAGTAAATGGATAAATTACAGAAAAGAAAACAGTAAGACCTGTCTCTAACCATGTTGAACATGAACTGTTTATTACCCACAATGCTAAAGATATAATGGCTGAGGCACATCTCACCTAAACTTTGATGTCTGACTCATCAGTGTCTACACCTGAGCCAATCCCTTGTTACATTCAAAGGAAATCCTATTTATCTAATCAGATGATTAGATAAAGCAGATTATTAGATTCAGTTGCATGAATCATATTTGTGAAGGGTTGATTCTAGACAGCAGTGAAGTACCCACTCAGCCACTCACTCACTTGCTCCTCCTCAAAGGATGGTGGAGAGAATCAGAAAAGCAAAAGTGAGAAAACTTCTCAGTCAAGTTTAATAAGTGAACAAAAAAAAAAAAAGTGATGTAAAATCAGTCATTCACCACCTCTCACAAGCACAGAATCATAGAATACACTGAGTTTGAAGGGACCCATAAGGATCATCAAGTCCAACCCTTAGCCCCGCACAGGACCATCCCCAAGAATCACACCATGTGCCTGAGAGTGCTGTCCAAATGTTTCTTGAACTTAGGCAGGCTTGGTACTGTGACCACTTCCCTGGGGAGGCTGTTCCAGTGCTCAACCACTCTCTGGGTGAAAAACCTTTTTCCTCATATCCAACCAAAACCTCCCCTGGTTCAGCTTCATGCCATTGCCTGGAGTCCTGTCACTGGTCACAAGAGTGAAAAGATCAGTATTTGCCCTTCCACTTCCTCTCATGAGGATGCTGAATACCACAATGAGGTGTCCCCTCAGTCTCCTTCTCTGCAGGCTGAACAGACCAAGTGACTCCAGTCACTCCTCATACGGCTTCCCCTCAAGGCCCTTCACCATCTTCGTTGCCCTCCTTTGGATGCTCTCTAATAGCTTAATGTTCACTAGCTCTTATTAACCAGATCCTCATTATATAGTAATGAACACAAAAGCAGATTGCAGAGAACTAGTTACCTGCACTGCAGCCCCTTTGTTCTATTAGCACAATTTCAGTTTGAAAAGGTAAAAAAAAATATTAGGCACTTATGAGACATCTACATGGAGCTAGCAACTGAATTTGTTTCCAAGGGAGAGGAATAAAGAATGAAATGGAAAGTAAAATCTTTATAGAATGACTGTTGATGGGGTATTAATAAGTTTTAAAAGGAAAGGGAAGAGAGAGATGAATACTAGTCCAACAAGAAAATTAATTAAAATTAATAAATCTATTTTGTTAATTTAGAGATATCTTGCTCTAGTCTATCATTAACAGGTTTTTGAGAAAAAATATGAGACAAATTAAGTAGTGATTACCAAAACATAAAAGCTCAAATTTCTTAAGTGTCTGTGAAAATATATAGCAAACTTCTCGACTGGATGACGATGTCTATTTTAGATTCAAAGGTTATTTCTTCAATGTTAGGTATCAGAGTATGATTAAGGATTCTATGGCTGAAAAATAAGGTATTGAGCTCTGTATTATTAAATTGTAGTTGAAACTAATATTAAATATCTGTAACTGATGAAGCCTGATTTCCTTTACTGGTTTTGACTTGTAGCTGAGTGACTTTGCAGTCTGAGACCATGAAAGTCCAACTGAATCTTTCCAGTAATTGGTGTTTTTGAAAGGGCTTTTTTTTTGTTAGAACTTGTAGGTTCTTGTTCCTAGTGGATATTTTTATAACATTTTTAGAAACATAATTATATTTGACACTTCTTTCTCCATATTCTGTGGAATTAAATCAAGTACTCTAAAATTAGAGGACATACACAGAGACAATACAAGTATTGTCTCAATAGCTAAACAGGACATGAGAGTTCAGCAGTGAATTTTGGGACTCATGAATTAATATTTTTTTGGCATTTTTAACAGACAATGAAACAACTGTAGGAACACTTAAAGAATGACTGCTTGGTTTCAGCAAAGACTCTTTCATCACAAATGCCAAGAAGCACATCATGATGATCCCACACCTTTCCTTCCCATCTCCCTACAGGTATCACCTCAGTTCAGTGTTAGGCAAGGTAACGCCTTATCTTCTAAAGATCTATTTCTTCCACATTGTACGTGGAAGTAAAAACAATTAAACACTCAGGTGGCATTCCTTTCTTACACCATTCCTAGACTCTATTACCACGGGACATAGTTCATGCGTGTCATGATGGAAGATTTTTAAATATAAACTGATATGTGAGCTCAAGTGTTTCAATTTTCAAGTAGCTAACTTGAAGGTATCTTACAGAAGTTTGAAGGTTTAAGTCACATTTAGAAAACAATAATTTTGGCACTGCAAATCACAAATGAATTTTAGTAGCTCTTTCAAACTTTATCCAAAATAAAAGATGTCACAGAATAGCTATTCTGAAGCATCCTATACCTTTATCAAAGACTTTTTTGGAGCAATAATTATCTGTATACATTGATTGCTGATATTTCTATTAATTTGTTCTTTTGTTTTTCTCACTTATGAGGCAGACACCAAAAACTACTGCTACACATGAATTCTCCAGAAGCAATTTCTGAAAATGTTGCAAGGAAGAGTGAAGCATTATCTTCATTCCTTTCACTATGACACAGTAAGGACAGTGACTTTTGTCTTTCCTTCCTTACTTTACAAAGGGAAGCCAGCAATTTTGTCTAAAATTTAGATTAGATGCTGGAACACAGACACATTACACCAGGTCAGAGTAGTTGCCAACTTGAATAGTCTGAACATGGCCAATGCCAGATGAGTAAGAAACCACACAATAGGAAATTGTGAAAAACACAGATCAGTTGGAAGGCCTTTCTTAATTATCCTCGAGCTACTGGACTACTCTCTGTCCTTCTTCTCACTCAGAAAACTGTTGCATGTGAATACAGCTGTACATTTTTTCCATACACTTCCATAACTCAAGTTTATTTTAATGTATTTGAATTTGCTTAAACCTGTTGCTGCAACACCAAATGATACTGTGCTCTACAAGTCAATTATCGCAGGTTACCTTTTTTTTCTACTTTTATTAGAATTTCTACCTTTCATTTCATTACAAAACTTCTTGTTTTATCTTGTGGGTGAAACAAAAGAGTCACAACAGGACCTCTCAAAATTTGAGATTTTTTCACTCTGTGCTATATTAAAAAATGGGACTTTTTTAATCTATAAACCTCTCTGTGAAAGTATAACTGGAATGCTTACAACACTAGGGAAGGAGCTAATGGTCCAAATTAATATGTTGTGTTCAAATTAAAGCACCACAAACACGATAAAATGCTTTTGTATCTAGCTGTCTTCCTATTTTGTTTCCTAAAATCATTCCAAAATCTTGACAAGCAGAAAGCAGAGAAAGGAAAAACAGGAAGGAAGGTTGTCAATGTACTGCTTTTTAAACAGCATAAAATAAGGATAAAGTTATTTCTAGAGTACTTAAAAATAATCTAGAGAGCACAAACTAGTATTTTCTGTCTTCACTGGATCTCCTTAAATTTATCTGTCACAACTTCTTGGTACAAGAGTCAAACAAGAAAATCCTGGCTAAAACTGCCAGCAGTGCAGAAATGCTGTTTAACTTTTTTGTTTAACTTGTTTGCTCTTCAGCATTTTTGATGAATTTCAACATACTGTTATTAGCAGCATTTTAATTACAATTGTTGTATACATACAAACTGGGGAAATTAGATACTTTGCAGTGTTATGGTATGAAGGTTCTTAAAGTTAAATCAAGCCAATGCAGCTGTTCCTAATTACTTTAAAAGAACAAATACTTAGACAAATCAGTTGTTTCCAGCTCCAGCATAATTCAATTAAAGGAGCCTTTATAATTTAACAACATGAATGATAGTTAAGCATAGCTAATATGGAAAACTGTTCAGAAACAATGTATGTCATTTACATAAAGGAAGGAGTTAAAGTACATCTGAGGCAGATAAGAAGCTATGATTTGCCTAAGACAAATATAAGATATTGCCATAAGAAGGTGGCACTATAAACAACACATCAAAAACTGACAAAAGCCTTTGTTTCCAAGTAGCAATTACTTTATTAACCAAGATTACTGGGCCTTAAGGTTTCTGCAGATCATTGTGTAGGCTTTTAGTCTGGGGAGTTTTTCCTTTTCCTTCACTGTTTTTAATTTTTTTTTTAAGCTGCCAAATGTAGTCTAGCTCCACCCCTACTTTGTATTGCTGCTTGACAAGAGATGTGGTAGGTAATGCAATACAGGATTAAATCCACACACAAACCACAGATGCCAGCAAATATTCTTCCTGGGTAATGTCTCTGGCAGAAGCACCCTTTATGCCCAGAAAGTTGTTCATTTTTCCTGCTGTGTTTCGGACTTTCACAGGTAATAGTATCATGCAAATGTTTTTTTCAGAATAGCATATCTTATAGTGCAATTATCATTCAGATATATTTTGTTTTCCATATGAAATAGAGAAAAAGGTGGTCAATTAAATGACAAACCGTTGTATATAACCATATTCTGTGTGAATTGAGTTACTGCTCTCTTATCTGTTATCTTAAGTCTTTGAAAAATTGTCAGAGGGATGGGATACACAGTAAAGTTCCACAGAAATCAACTACAATAACACAATGCATTTCTGTCCACATTTGCATATCCATTATATACACATTAAGAGTTAAGAATATACGTTTTTCCTTATATTATAAGCATGACATTGTTTTAACCAAAGCTTTATAATAATATAAAACAAGAAAGACAAAATAAAAAAGAAAAGAAAAGGAAGACCAGACTAATTCAGTCAAATAATATTAAATATTAATCTTAAATGAGTTAGCTGTACCTTGAGTCACCTGTTGAATGGCTAGCATCACCCCAGAAACTGCATCAGGAACCAAACTTTCTTTCCAGTTGTAGACGGGCACCCATTTCAAGATGGGCAACCTTCCCATACACCAGGCTTTGATATCTTCAAAGCGAACAGCCTGGATTTTCCTCCAGACTGTGTTTCTTTTCCTTTTTGCCCCTGTCATCATTCCCACCTCACAAAAGCAGTGCCTCAGAAGGGTGCACAGTTGAGGAGTGACCCTGATCTGTGTCAGTCTCCAGTTTTCTTCTGAGATTTTTCAGTTCCAAAACTGCAGAGGAAAAAAAATGAACAGAAGCACTTAAGATTTCTGCAGCTGTTCTGTAACTATACTCAATGAAAACACTTATTAAAAGCTTCAGTAATATAAACAGCTACATGAAATGCAAGAACTGTTTACAGCAAAGATCACATTTTCTGCTATTTGCAAAAATTTGGTCTCATCTCACGTTAGTTTGTAATTCTTTCCAGTAACCTCCTGCTTTATATCCCTGTAATGCTTGTGCTTTTGGCCTCATTCCAGTGGCAAAACGAGGTATTAGTGGGAGTGTGTGCAATATAGGCTGGGCTATGCTAATCTGAGCGGGAAGTGCCCAGCGAACCCGGCATCTCCCTGCCAAGCCTGGGAAAGCAGCCTTGCCTCTTCCGGGGGGGGGAGTTTTTTGGGCCATAGGTAGAAGGCATTAAGTCCTCAGTAAAGCTCATAACAGAGAACTTGTCTTACTCCATCAACATTTTGTCTTTTAAAAGACAGTAAAAAGCTTGTTTATGTAGTAAATGCAGAACATCAGGTAGCAATAAGTCATGCTGAAAATATACACAGAGTCTCTCTGTAGGCTGAAGACTCAGACTGAAGAGTAACAAGCTCAAAGTGCAGTGAAGGACTGCAAACTATCAGCTTCACATGGGATGTGCCAAAAGCATTTGTGACAATCATTCTTCTTTAAAGCTACTCCTTTCTGCTTTTGGTTGTCCATCCAGCAAAGGCTCTCTCAGCAAAGATAGTTCACCAAGAAACTTCTGTTCTTGTAATAACATCTTGTACCTTGTGTGCGACACAAAGTGCTCAGACGCAAAGTGATAAGAAAGTGGAAGAATTTTAAATGTTAAAACATTTAAATGCCCTGTCTGATAGGAAGCAAGGACACAGTGGGCTTTCCTCTCAGTTATCTGTGTTTCTGAATAGCAAAGAGATTTAAGTTAAAATGCAAGATCCATCATATGGTTTGTGGTTTTGGTTTTCTGTGTATGCAACCTCCTGCTTTTAATTTGAAATTGCAGTTCAAGGACTTCATAATCAAGGTATTTATGTATACCAAGTGTTTAACAAAACAGATCTTTACCTACTTTCAGTGGTCAGAAGTGGACAGGAATCTTTCTGAGTAGAGTGAGAGTTACTCAGCAGTCAGGTATTGCTTAGTTTTGATTAAATGTTCAGTGCATCTAATTATAATAGCATTTACTAGGAAATAAAAATCAAAATACATTTCTACACATAGATATGCATGTGCAAAAACACATTCAAATATAGGTACTTGTGTAAAAGAAACTAAGAGTTTTTTGTTTGTTTAAATCATGGTTTGCTAGAAGCCCTGAATATTCTGAAACAGGAAAAAAAAAAACCAAACAAAAACCCATTAGAAAACCAAAGAACTATCACTAAACACACAAGAACATAGTCTTCATTCTTAAAACTTCTTGCATCAAAACGCTGAAGCTCTTTGGAAAAGTCTATAATTGAGATTTTCCCACCTCATAGTTGCACAGTCAGTAAATCTGGACAGTTTTCTTCAATCCCAGATTAGCGTCTGAACTCCTAGGATTAGCAATATCAACAGACTTTTGTCCCTCACCAACAAGTGATGATATCTCTCTAAGGGTGTGTGCATGCATGAGTACAAACATCTTACAACAGATGTGAACTTTGTGTGGAAACTTTTTTACTCCAACAATGATTTTGATAAGTAAAAAAACTGCATTATCAATAAATCTGAAGTTGATAATATCATCACTATTGAAAAACACTGTTCCTTGTAACTCTGAAATTAATAAAGTACTCTTAGTTAGCAATAACACAAGGTAACACTTAATTTACAAACCCCCAAAGAAATCAAAATTTTTAAGAGAAGACAGATATATGACAACAAACCTATACCTCACTACACAATATTCCAACATTTGAATCTTAAAGAAACATAAAAAACCATCACTTTCCTAAAACACATCAGTATCCTAACTGAAACACATATTGTACCACACACGTGATATTTAAACTTTTTCTCATTGACTGGTTTTCCTTAGCTATAAACCTATAATCTATACACTCCCAAACCATGCAGGCTTTCATAGTTTGAACTTCGTCACAATGTTCCTGAGCTATCATGACTATGAGACCCTCTTCTGCTCTGGAACAGGCATATACAACTCAGTTTTCTAGAACAGCAAAGGGTAAACATGAGGAACCTTTGATTTTATACATCTAAGTCAGTGTACTCATTGTTGTAATGTTAGCTGTTTCATAATTAGCTTTTTGATGCTCCTATACAAGTAAAGCCTATTTTCAAGTGATTAAATATTTTTTTTTTGTTTTGTTTTTTTTTTTCTGGAAATGCACAAAAGTATAATTCTAGTAGTGTATTTATGTACAATATTAAAAAGATAATTACTGATAGTCAAAAATTAGAATACAGATAGTATATAAAAGGAGAAATTTATTGCATCATAGATCAGATCTGGTGGCCTTTTAAAACCTGATTTACAACAGGTTCTAAAAAAATGGAATAACCCCTACCACAAAATGACCCTCACAGGGGATCATGTATATTTGCATATATATGGGATGTTTACATACATGGTGGATATGTGAAGATAGGAAGTTTGATTCTCTAGCTTTAGCCTAAAGGGATTTAAAAAAAAAACAACAAACCAAACACATTACTCCAACCTAGATTCCAAAAGGAAAAATTCCTGGTAAACTCTGACAGAGAAGTACTAATTCCCACTTCATATGGAAGCAGATTCTGTAGGAATCATTGGGCTCTTGCATATGAACTGCTTTTAGACTTCACATAAACTGGCAGGAAAGTTCAAAAACTATGTTTATATTTAAATATGCTCATAGAAGTTAAATGAAGTTATTCACACCTATGACAGGCATAGATGTCATGATGGAAATAACTGAAAAGATTGCCCAGAGAGTTTGTGGAGTCTCCCTTCCTGGAGATATTCAAGAACTGTCTGAACACAATTCTGTGCAATGTGCTCTAGGATAACCTGCTTGAGCAGGGACGTTGGACCAGATGACCCACTGTGTTCCCTTCCAATCTTACTTATTCTGTGATTCTGTGATTCTGTAGTATGACTTGCTCTTTGTAAGTTTTCTCAGGCACACAGATCATGTAACTAAATATCTGTAAATATCCAATGTTAATGTAATGCTGACTAACTAAAGCTGTATTCCTGCTGATGTGCATCATTTGATCCCCAAGTGCATGCAGTGCATCAAACTCAAATTCCTCATGTTCTCCCATCTACCATCACTGAATAAAGGAAAGTACATGCTAACATTAATCCAAAGCAAATACTTTTCTGGCTGGCCATGGCAAAATATATATAAGATTTAGATCTGAATATATATTGAATATATAATGATTGAGCTTTCCTCATCTTTTTTAAAGTGGGGAAACTAATTTGCATTCATCCTTGTCCTCTATCCTGACCAACAATTTCTCAGTTTTGATACTGCTATAGTTCTGTCAAATACAGATAAGAATGGCTAAAGGATTAAGAGGATACTAGATGAAAGATTTAAGAAAAAAGACAGGTAAAAATCTTGGCCAAATAAAGGTCACCATCTTTAGGAAAGATGGTAAAAATTCCGAGAGAAATCCTATGAGAAATTCCAAGTATGCGTGAGAAAGCACAGCTGAATGGGAATGGAAGTCAGATTTTAAAAAAGAGGTGAGAAGAACTAGTTCAAAGAGACCAAATTGTGCGTTTATACATCACAGAACACAGCACAAAAGAATAATATATAAGCTACTGGAATTATAAGCAAGTGCTGACAAATTGAGCAACACAAAAACAGTGATAAAAATCCACACCTTCAAAAAAGCATTCCTGAAATCTGAAAATCTGTAAAAAAACAGAGTATCAATCACATGTATTACATAAACCTGGTTGCAGTTAAACCACAACACTAGGCCACAAAAGAAGCATACGTTTAAGTATGCAAATTATTTTTCACTGATATTTACATAACTTCTCCCTCTGAAATTCCAGGGCATCAAAACCAGAAATAATTCACAAACTCTGAAGCTTGCCAATTTATCTTCCAGAGTTGGATGCAATGCATTTATTTTCGATAATACCTAATTTTAAAAGTACTTCTGATTTCAGTCATCGAATACTTGCAAGTGGACCTAAATTGAAACAGATATGATTCTTGCCCTTCGCAAAACAGATTAAGCTAAAATCTCCATCTCTTCATCATACAGGATGTTTAGGAGGCACTGTGGTCACACTAACACCTCTGAGTAATCAGAATTATCACAAGATAAAGCTGAGCATTCAGGCATAACAGAAGCTTTTCATTTTTCATGGCTAGGCTTTGCGAATGAAGATTTAGGAAGGCTCTATCCACATTTATTACAGGTACACTGGTGGCTAATGAGGCCAATACGAGATAGACATAACCAATTGCAAAAGGCACAGCAGAAAGACTCCTTAGATGGTATATTCCGCAAGACACAGTTCTTTCTGCGTTGTCTTTTCTCCTCAAGAGTGATCTGCGTGCGTTCTCAAAGGAAGCAGCAGTGTTACAGATGGTGTGTCTCCAGGCCTCCCGATTTGAGGCCAGAGTAGACCAGTTATGGTGATCAATATGGCCAAGGCTGAGATGTTGTTTCAGGGAGTCCTTGTATCTTCACTTCGGGGCTCCTCTCTTGTGGCAGCCCGTGGCAAGTTCACCGTAAATCAAGATCTTAGGGAGACGGTGGTCCTTCATCCTGGAGACGTGCCCTGCCCAACGCAGCTGCATTCTCAGCAACATGGCCTCAATACTTGTGACTGCTGCTTGTTCAAGTATTGGTCACGTAATCTGACCAGTGGATGTTTAGGATTGTACGGAGGCAGTGTTGATGGAAACGTTCTAGGAGTCGCAGGTGGTGGCAGTAGATGACCCATGATTCGGAACCATATAAGAGAGTAGACAGCACTATGGCTCTGTAAACACTGATCTTTGTACTTTTCTTCAAGTGTTTATTTCGCCAAACTCTTTTATGAAGCTTCCCGAAGGCACTATATGCCTTTGCTAACCTGTTGTCTATCTCTCCGTCAATCTTACCGTCCGAGGAGATGAGGTTCCCTAGGTAATTAAACTGCTGGACTGATTTGAGTTCTGATTCGCCAGTGGTGATGTGGGGATGATGGGGGACTTCCTGAGGTGCAGGTTGATGGAGGACCTCTGTCTTCTTTAAGCTGACTTCCAGCCCAAAGAGCTCAGCAGCATCTGCAAAG